AGGATAAGATATCTCACTGTTTAAAATGAAAAAAAACAAACCCACAATGTTTTTATTTTGTATTGGTTTCAGGTGTACAGCATAGTGGTTAGACAATCATATACTTTTCAAAGGTGATTCCCCTGATATTTCCAGTAGCCACCTGGCACCATCCATAGTTATTACAATATTATTGGCTATATCCCTATGCTGTACTTAACATCCCTGTGAATAGTTTGTAACTACCAATTTGTACTTCTTAATCTCTTCACCTTTTCCACCCAGCCACCCAACCTTCCTCCCCTCTGTCAGCCCTCAGACTGTTCTCTGTATCTGTTTTTTTTTTCTGTTTTGTTTGTTTATTTTGTTCTTTAGATTCCACATATAAGTGAAATCACATAGTATTTGTCTTTGTCTGACTGATTTCACTTAGTCTTGTTTTACTCTTATAAAGAATCTACAATTTGAAGAGAAGTGACACATTTTTGCTATTGGAAACATTTGCTGTTTTTGTGTTTGTTTGGTGTTTTTTTTGAAACACCACTAGTGTAAGAAACAACCAAGGGATGTGGCAGTGGACATGTGTGACCTTCACAAATATTGGTCCTGTCAAGTGAATTCAATTTATTTTTTACTTTTGAGGAAACGAATGGTTATTGTAGAAATTTAGAAAGCACAGAGCAGTAAATTTCAAAAATACAGAAAAATAGAAAAATGCAAAAGGGGAAACTTTATTCTTCTACAATCTAGAAAGAACAAGAGTCAGCATTCTGGCTTATTTTTCTGCAGGCTTTTCATTTTTTATTTAATGTGGATCCTATTATTTATGTAATGTTATAGCTTGCCTTTTATTTAACATGTCACGTGAAAGTTATAATACCAGTAAACAACTTTTTGGAAATAATTGTAATGGTTCTATAATTTCCCATAGTTTATTTAAATATTCCCCTGATACTGGATATTTAGGTTGCCTTCATTTATTTAACATTTTAAATAATTCTACATCGGCTACCTTTTTGCATGAATCTTTGCCTACATCTCAGATTATCTCCCTAAGAGGGTTTCCAACAATAAAATAATAGATCAAACAGAATGCACACATTTAAGATTTCTGTTATTATGGTTGCCAATTAATTTACAGGAAAACTTAATTTATATTACAGCCAACAATGTATGATAGCAACTCTCCTATTTCTTACTTTCCCCAGCACTGAGTTTTAATATTTTTACATCTTTATTAATTTTGTTGGTAAAGTGTGATTTTGTGTTTTAATTACCATTTTTACTTTTGATTAATTTCCAAAGTAATGTAAACTTGATGACAGACCTGTAGGCCAGATCCTACACCACAGGCTCTTCCTCGGGGGAGGAGAAGTTTTACTGACAGTGAGAATTGTATTAAATATTGATGCATATTTGAAATGATATAAAGAGTATATCATGCACACATATTTTATATTAGTTAAATGCAATGAATGGTTAATTGAGAATCAGAAAGGCTCAAAAAGAAAAACAATTAATGCTTGATTCTCTTATTTTTTTTAGTCATGGATATTACATCGCATTGACTTAAAAATTAAAATGTGTAGAAGTAGTAAACTTGAATTGCTTAGATCTTTTTTATTGATATTTTCTCCCACTTTCCCACCTTGAAAGGGATAAAGAAAGTTGACTCATGTACGAAAGAGAAACTCATCATTTTCCACTTGCAGAATATCATTCAATCCAAGATCAATCTACAGTATAATAAGATGTTCCAAATATTTCATTATCATCTTTCTGGGAAGAGCTTGAAAGAGAACAAAAAGGTTAATAATAGTTTTCCCTTCATGGGGTGTTTTGGTTTTAGTTTGGTATGATTTTGTGTCAAGCCTGGATATACAATAAATGTTTTCATTCAGCCCAGGCCTGGAAGCATGAATAAAGAGTTAAGACACTAACTGCATATGGTAAAAAAAATAATAACAATAATATGGTAAAAATAACTCTAATAATATTTCCTTACTTTCCTGCATCTCATTACCTTCCCACTCATTAATTTTACTTCAGTGGAAGTAATGTACATAATGAAAAAGGAATCTGTCCTTTTTAAAATCTTATTTTTGGTGAGGAAAGATGAGATGTGAAGTTAATTTCTAGAAATCTTCTAGTTGGAAAAAATCTGTCTTTAAGAAGAACATTATTCTGACCTTAAAGTGTAAAAGATAAAAAGTGATATTGCACAGGTACAGAGAACCGTATGTGTAGAACAAGCATGTCAAACTCGTGGTCAGCGAGTTTGACATGCTTGGTGTAGAACATTTGTCTAATTTACCTTTGATCAGCTGAGCTAAAGAAGCAGCAATATTCTTTTTAAAGAAATTTTAAGAAAAATTTTGAC